AAAAAAAAAAAAAAAAAAGTAAGAAAGAAAGAAAATATAATAGAAGATAAAGAATAAATATCTTAGAAATTATGGAAAAAATACGTAAAACGCAAATACAGAAAACGTTCAACCTTTGTGATAAGAAATATTAATGTACTGGTATTTTTCATTTTGAAAAGTAAAATTTTATAAATGACAACAGTCACTGATGGAGACTGTACAGATAAACTAGATCTGTGACACACTGCTGGTTACAAGGTATACCAGCACAACCCTTCTGGAAAGTGTTTTGGCAATATTTATCTATAAAGAATCAAAAAATGATTTCAAACAAGTAATTCCATTTTTGAAAATTTATTGTAACAAAAATATTTACTCCAAAAACTTTCTTAACTATGAAAACGACCCAAGTAAAAACTGTAGCAGTAAGTAACATAAAATTGGAAAAAAGGTCGGAATAAAACCCACCTCTACAGAATTAAGAGTTTTTCTGTTTCATCACTCTAAAACTTTAATGTAAATGTTTAAATGCTAAATATTTTCAAATGCCAAAAAAATAAAGTAACAATTATTTTAAAAAATAAAACTACATGTTCTAGAAATAGATACACAGGAAGAAGGAAACAACTGTCTCTGTTTTTTAAATTGGAAGAGTTCCTTTGAATCTGGCATATTATAACATCGACTCACCTAGACATCTCTTATTCATGTTTAAAAGGACAAATAAATAAAACGCATTCATCTTGAACACGCCTTTTTAAAAGCAATGAGTCAAAGTTTGCAGCACTTAAGAGAATTCTGAGTAGCCTAGTCAGAGCAAACCAGTAGTACAGAGGAATTTATTTCCAGAATTCGAACCCTACCTTCACTCTCAGTTCTTTCCTCTTAACCCTGGTACCCACCTCTCTTCTAAGGAAATTCCTTTCCTTTTTTCTGTTCTCATCCTAAATTGGCTTTCCATAACCTCTAATAAGATTTTCACTGATCTTAGGAAGACTTCTTAATGCTCTGTTGAAAACAACTTGAAGACCTTAAGAAACAAAACTATAAAAATAGATGACAGATGTTGGGTTTTGCCTTTTAAGAGGCAAGATTATCTCCTTATAATCTTGGAAGAAACACAGAGAGATGTATGAGAGAAACACCCAACGCTTAATACTTGAGGTTTAAGGTATCATCTTCCATGGTTACTACAAGTATATTTTTGTTAATGGATCTGGCTTCTGAGGAGAAGAGAAAGTGAATCATAAAATGATAGAGAATTTGTTGAAAATGCTGACTAAAAGCCAGAAGAAAAAAAAAGACATTCTTAAATTAAAAGAAGCTCCTCAGAATCAATCTAAGAAACAAAATGGGAGAACAAAATTCTTAGCAATGAAAAAGGACAAAGTTTAGTAATTTATTACTGTTACTACTTAAATGGTATTTTTATCAACAAAGTCTAAAGAAAAATCTCTAGGGAAATATTTCTCTAAGAACTTTCAGGGCATCCTTTAACACTGTTTGAAAATAAGTAAATATTGTAATCAAAATGTTAATAAGGGAAAACCAAGTACTTTAAATACTTTTGATTTCCAAACAGCTGTTCTTTCTACCAAGAGGATGGTGATTATGGAAGGTGGAGATAAAAGATTAAATGTCCTTCTATTTCCTTAAGAAATGTTAGTATTTCTGATTATTCTTTTCCTATACAGAGAAAACTCCCAAGTTATCTCTGTATATATCTCTGTATAATCTGTATAGGCATATTATATTTTGTAACTATATTTGTAAGCCATATTTCTGAACTTAAGACAGAAATGCATTTTCTGATACATCAACCCAATTTTTTTTGTTGTTGAGACAGGGTCTCACTAGGTTGCCAGGCTCACTGCAACCTCCTCCTGGGCTCAAGTGATCCTCCTTTATCAGTCTCCTGAGTAGCTGGGACTATGGGCACACACTACCACACCCAGCTAATTTTTCTGTGTATATACAGACAGGATTTCACCATGTTGGCCAGGCTGGTCTCAAACTCCTGAGCTCAAGTGATCTTCCAGCCCCAGCCTCTCAAAGTGCTGGGATTACTGGTGTGAGCCACCAAACCCAGCCCCAACCCAATCTTATATACCAGGCTTTGGCTCACAGGGCAGCATATGGATGGATGCTAATTTAATTCACAACTTGCAATCATACAGCTATGAGAATTGATGTGCTTACAGGACTCACTCTATGTGCAAGGCACTGTTCTCAGTGCTTCACATATATTATTTGGTTAATACTTCTTACAACATCTCTATGTAAGATAAATAGTAATCTCCATTTCAAGGTGACAAAACAAAATCACAATAAAATTAACCAACATACCCAAGATCACTGAGCAAGTAGGCACTGCTGCCAAATGACACAACAAGGGGTCTGAAAGACAACGTCTTCTGTGTCTCTAATAAGACATCCTAAATGTTTCCAATTTAGGATCACAAACCACTTTATTCCTGGCAGTGAAACTGGCAACTTCTCTTTTCCCTCAACTTCCTAAACAAGACAAAGCGGATTCCCCCAGCACCCCCAGCTTGGAACTAGCACAGTGTCTTCTAAATCTTAGAAGACATCTTAGTCTGGGTCAGCACCTTACCGTCCCTGTATTTTCCTTTGATAATATTAAACATTAGTTTGCCTGCTTCTCCAACTTTCTGTTACTACTGTCTTTACACTCAATCAAGAATTTCCTTCTTCCTTGGGTCACTACAAAACAGCAAATTCTCTCAGCTTTTTAAAGATATCCTCCTATTACTGAAGCTGAAATACAGCCTGTGTATCCAGTAATTGGGAAGGCAAAATACACCTTCCTCCATAAAAAATATGTTTTAAAAGTTCAGGATAACATGAGTAAATGCTTTTGTTACAATATTGAATGGGGAGAAAGGCTGGCAAACTATATTTATAATGTAGTCTAGTCTAGTGAAAAGGAAAAGGCTTTTATGTTTGGGAGATTTTTTTTTTTTTTTAAGAAAATCACCAAACTATTAATAGAAGTGGTTACTGGGTGGTAAGATTATGGGTGCAAGTGGCATTTAAATTTTTTCCCACTGTTCTATATTATTAGAAAACTGGCTGGGCACAGTGGCTCACACCTGTAATCCCAACACTTTGGGAGGCTGAGGCGGGCGGATCACGAGGTCAAGAGATCGAGACCATCCCGGCCAACATGGTGAAACCCCATCTCTACTAAAATATAAAAATTAACTGGGCGTGGTGGCACGTGTCTGTAGTTCCAGCTACTCGTGAGGCTGAGGCAGGAGAATTGCTTGAACCCAGGAAGCGGAGGTTACAGTGAGCCAAGATCACGCCACTGTACTCCAGCCTGGCACCTGGCAACAGAGCAAGACTCTGTCTCAAAAAAAAGAAAGAAAAAAAGAAAACTGATAATATAATGTGCTTAAAATTAGAAAGCATAAACATTATTTTGAAAAAGACTTTCTCTACTTTCTTCTACCCACACTTTTT